TCTTCTGCTCCTCTGGTTATTGGTAAAGCGTGTGCTGAAGCTGGCGGTGTGGCTGGTGCTGAAGCTGCCGGTGCGGCTGGTGCTGAAGCTGCCGGTGCGGCTGGTGCTGAAGCTGGCGGTGCGGCTGGTGCTGAAGCTGGCAGTGAGGCTGGCTGTGAAGTTTGAAACCTGGCCCTGGTTCTTTTCTCCTTTTGCGCAAGTCTGGCCTTCACAAGTTGCTTGGATCTCTTGGTCTTGGGGGCCATGATTCTCTGTATTATGAACCCAAAAAAAAAAGGTCTTTATTAGTATTTGAAAAATAAAATAAAACTATATTAGGCTTAGCCCCTAGGCAAAGGTAAATATAATTTCAGTACCAGTATTATTGTTATAAAAAAAATATAAGGAATGGAAACATTTCTATTGTTATTTTTTTTAAATTTTTTTTAAAATACAAATTTGGAAACTTTAGGCTTATACTTATTCAAATTCAATTTTTTCATTTATTGACATTTATCATTTCATTATGATTACAATCTCATAATAATGTTGTCAACGAAAATTTTTTGTAGTTAAATTATTATATTACACGTGTAAGGACAAAAACGTAGATGAAAAGAATAAGGAACGTTTTGAAATTTTATATTTATGCATAAAAATTTTGTATAATTAGGCATAGTGTAAATTTAAATTTAATTCATAGGCCTACATCAATTACAGTGTGCGTAAAATTATAATAATACTAGTAGTTGGCCTAGTGATAATGACCACTGTATTATTTTCTAAACCTCGCTCAACATTCGCTGGAACTCCTAAAACTAGCATTAACTATTTATTATAAATTACATTATACAATAATTAATTCAACTTACCTTTTCAAAGCAAGAAAATAAGTTCAAATTTGAATTTATTTGAAGACTGCAAAAGTAAAGTCGATCGTTGGAAACGGGTTATGCTAACTGGACGCAATGAAAATGGGAGACCGGCATTGCATTGTGGGATAGATTTTTCCATCTAGGTCACATCTAAAATTAGCCGACCAATGATAATGGCTTATAAATTAAAGATTTAAATCTCGACCAATGAGAAAATGTGTTTGAACAAATTTCTGTAGGTCCTGCAGGACAAAGAGCTCCCGCCAGGCTTATTTCTGGACATATTAGTGGGCGATACCATTACCGGGTAAATAGGCTAAGCTTTCGATCGATACCAAATATGACTATATTGCGTTGTAATTGTATTATAAAAACTAGGGGCGGGCCAGGGGGTTTATGAGGCCTGAATTTTGCTCCCAAGGTCAAAATTTGCTCTTACCATACTACTTTAAAATACATTTTTAACAACTTTAAATTATTTTTTTATGAAAATGGTAAAAACCAAAATGTTCTTTAGATGTTTATCTAGCAAAATTCACCATAATCTCATTTTTGATAAAAATTATATAAATATCGATATTTTCCCCCGTGGACCACCTTAACCTAACCTGAACCCTAAATGTATCCATAAACCTAACATGAACCCTAAAATGTATCCCTAAACTGATCAATCTGAATTAGAATTAGCTTAAAAGACTTTTATTCAAAAATTATACATTATTTCACATTTCCATTAAAACTTAAAACACTTCACACTTCCAATAAAACTAAAACAATGTTATTTTAAATAAAAACATACATACTTCTTTAAAGGTCCTCCGCTACTGTAGTGGCCAAAATTGAACAATATCGTCTAGAATGGCGTTGAAGACATAAAAACCATTTACTTAAACACGTTGAAGCTACATGAACTCTCACATTGACAAGTCGAGCATATGTCTGTGTGTGCCGTTGTGGCGCTTGTTTCTCTCTTTTGCAGATTTCCACAAACGTTCGATGCTTTGGGTATGGCTATTGGCCCCTGAGTTTGGATCCAAAAACTTAACAGAATAAATGAACGTTTGATGAGTCAATCCCGGAGTGGTGCCAATTGCATTATATGCTCTCTATTGATCTGACATGACTGTTGTGCCCAGCAGGATATGTGCTGTGATTATCGGCATAAGTGTGATGTGTAGCTGCTGATCTATCTTGTACACAAAACATGCAACACTCACTAATCTCCTGACAAATGCCTCCAGAGACCCATTGTTGTGGCAAAACTCGCCCGACATGATTTTTTCTGCACGTAAACAGACAAGATGCATTATATTTTGAACACATTGTAGAAGTAATTGAAATAATAAAATTCTACTATGGCATGGATTCTTGATTGAACACTATCGTTCACTCTTTGGCTTGTACTGTTTTTCGTATGGCTGCTAATGTCTAAGAGCATAATGATAAAGTTTCCGAGCCTACCCCCCCCCCATTTAATAAACATTCAAAACCTGGATGTAATTTGTAAATCTTCAATTTTTTTTTTTTAAAGAGAAAATTGAATTTTTTTTTAAAATTATTAACTTTTTAATAATTCACAATATTAACTTTAAAATCAGAAGAGTTTTTATTTATTTTATGAGTGGATTTAAAAATTAAAACCAGAAAAGAAAATGAAAACAATTTAATTTTTTGCCTTGTTACTTTAAAAATTATTTTGCTTTATTTTTTATCAGATATTGTTGCGTTTTTTTCGAAAAATATAACAAAATTTTCCCCCCAGTTAAGATTTCCCAAGGTTTTGCATGATTTTCAAAATTATTCCCCAGATCCCAAGGGGGGTCGTGAATTCCCAAGATCTTGGGAAATTTCCCAAGGTGTGGTAGCCCTGCTAACTGGACGCAATGAAAATGAAAATGGGAGACCGGCATTGCATTGTGGGATAGATTTTTCCATCTAGGTCACATCTAAAATTAGCCGACCAATGATAATGGGTTATAAATTAAAAATTTAAATCTCGACCAATGACAAAATGTGTTTGAACGAATTTCTGTAGGGCTTGCAGGACAAAGAGCTCCCGCCAGGCTTATTTCTGGACATATTAGTGGGCGATACCATTACCGAGTAAATAGGCTAAGCTTTCGATCGATACCAAATATGACTATATTGCGCTGTATTTGTATTATAAAAACTAGGGGCGGGCCAGGGGGTTTATGAGGCCTGAATTTTGCTCCCGAGGTCAAAATTTGCTCTTACCATACTACTTTAAAATACATTTTTAACAACTTTAAAATAATTTTTTTATGAAAATGGTAAAAACCAAAATGTTCTTTAGATGTTTATCTAGCAAAATTCACCATAATCTCATTTTTGATAAAAATTATATAAATATCAATATTTTCCCCCGAGGACCACCTTAAGTTTTGGCTCCCAGTAACACAAGTCATGAGTTAAGTTTTGGCTCCCTGTAACATAAGTCATGAGTTAAGTTTTGGCTCCCAGTAACATAAGTTATGAGTTAAGTTTACGTGTCCCACAATTTTGGACGATTTCTAAACAGTGATCAAACTTGTCGATGATGTTACTTTAACTTAACGCAACTGTTTCCACCCTCTGCTCGGCGAAGGGTTCATAGTGCACTTCTGAGGGCTCCACGGGTGGAATAGGTAACTCCTAAACACTATTAACTTGTAAAACATAGGGTATGACAAAGGGGCTCCACGGGTGGAATAGGTAACTCCTAAACACTATTAACTTGTAAAACATAGTGTATGACAAAGGGGCTCCACGGGTGGAATAGGTAACTCCTAAACACTATTAACTTGTAAAACATAGTGTATGACAAAGGGGCTCCACGGGTGGAATAGGTAACTCCTAAACACTATTAACTTGTAAAACATAGTGTATGACAAAGGGGCTCCACGGGTGGAATAGGTAACTCCTAAACACTATTAACTTGTAAAACATAGTGTATGACAAAGGGGCTCCTAAACACTATTAACTCGTAAAACATAGGGTATGACAAAGGGGCTCCTAAACACTATTAACTTGTAAAACATAGGGTATGACAAAGGGGCTCCACGGGTGGAATAGGTAACTCCTAAACACTATTAACTCGTAAAACATAGTGTATGACAAAGGGGCTCCTAAACACTATTAACTCGTAAAACATAGGGTATGACAAAGGGGCTCCACGGGTGGAATAGGTAACTCCTAAACACTATTAACTCGTAAAACATAGGGTATGACAAAGGGGCTCCACGAGTGGAATAGGTAACTCCTAAACACTATTAACTTGTAAAACATAGGGTATGACAAAGGGGCTCCACGGGTGGAATAGGTAACTCCTAAACACTATTAACTTGTAAAACATAGGGTATGACAAAGGGGCTCCTAAACACTATTAACTCGTAAAACATAGGGTATGACAAAGGGGCTCCACTACTCCAAAACCTGGGCTCCACTGTCCTTTTTTATTTATACCACTTCCTTTTTACAAAAATTCAAACAGGCCAGTCTGCCGGGACAGGGCTTCAAACAGAGACTTTGAGGAGAGAGTGGAAACCAGGGCATTTGTTAGCCTACTCACTCATAGGCGCGGCACATGAGAAGGTCATGGGCACAATTTATATACGGTTGCACATTTTTCAAAAGAGGTATTTTTTTCAAATTCTCTTGTCCCCCTAATCCTTAGCTGTTATCACAGCAACTACCCCAGCCCACATAAAAAGTTGGAAATGAATTTCAATTTCTTCGTTATACTTATACCCAGCAGAAGTGATTCATCTTTAAAAAATATCTAAAATTCAGCTAATGCCATGCTTATAACTTATAAGTAATGTTTTTTAATGTATCATCGTAAGACAACTACATAAGATCATGATCTGCCGCAGAAGAAAATGGGATCGACGTCATTGATCACTGGCATCATATGGATCATGAATACATACAAATAGATAACAACATCTCACACAAATGGGATGTATATTTTTGCTGAACCATGTTGTACTATAGAATATTTGTTTATATTATTTTCACCCTGAGAAATAAAACCATTTTCATCAAATATATCATCAAAATGACAAGTATTTCTTTACTCCACCGAAAGTCATGAGTACAACTGACTGCACTGCCTGAATTTAAAATGAAAACATCAGCAACAAGAATAATATTTAAAAACTTAAAATTTATTACATAAGATCAACAGTGTAATATGATGTCATTTTAACATATGAATATATTATACAAACAAATGTCCACATTCAATGCTTCAACTTTAAAAAAATTCATACAAAAACTTTTTGTTTTACAACAAATCATTCACAACAATGAACATTTACATGAACTGTAATACATTTCATAAAAGTTGGTTTCATTTTCTTTCTTCAAATACCATATTGTGATGATTGAAATAAAGCAGAAATTTCCTCCAATCAAATTTTATATAATGATTGAAGTAAATATAAAATGTCATCTAACCAAACCTCATACGATAATGATTGAAAGAAAGCTAAAATTCACTATCAATTAGTACAATCAAACTTCATTCTGTTATATTTGAAATATGCTAAAATTCCCCACAATCAAACTTCATATTGTAATAAATAAAATGAACCTAAAATTCCATACAATCATTTCATATTGTAACGATTGAAATGATGCTAAAATTCCCTACAATCAGATTGCCCAGCATGTTTTAAATAGTTTTACTACACTGAAGATATGTCAATGATGAACATTTTCTGTCATTTATCTCAGCTCGAATATTTACTTAGTTAAATTACCTCCCCTCCATTAGGTTAACTGAAATGGTTTGAGGTTTGAGAGAAAAATTCAACCTGGAACTGATATTGAATCTTTGTATTGAAATACCATGTCAATACAGTTTTGTATAGAAAAATCCAAAAGTAATTTTGGAAACTTATTGGTCTGACTTGCTAAGGATCCACATAAAAATATGTTCAAATCCTTCATGATTTATATTTTTATACGGTACCTACCAGTTACAGCTTCTCTAACATTCACACAAGCTCACACAATATTACATCCCTCACTAATTTATCTCTGTTTATTTTGGGCTGCTTCTTTCCGTGTTGCATCTTGAAGTAACTGTGTGTCACATTCATCCGCAGGTAATTGAACATAACGTACGACAGAACCTCGAATAAAGCAGGTTTTCACAGACAGCTGAAAATTTAAAAAAAAAAAAAATGGTGAAGTTATAGTCACTTGTAGATAAATAAAAATACATTTTTAAAATTAAAGAGATGATATACAATTCTCAATAAAACATTTTAGGATTTAATTAAAAAATTATAGAAAGCCAACCCTTCAGCCTTCGTCATGTTATGGCCGAATTGCATCATTCGAAAAATTTGAAATTTTCAATGTTGCCTAGTGAATGTAACACTTTTTATTGACTCTATTTATGAAAAGGAAATGACAAGCTCTTGTTTTGTTGAGGTTCAGTGGCTGTGTGCTTGTTTTACGCTACTTTGCCTTTCTAGAAGCGCTTAAAACTGCAAGTATGTCTGCTGTTAGTAGTATTAGTGTATACAGTGATGAATTGGATGCAGAAAAAAAGTAAATGGGAATAAAAGTGATATTAAATTAATTCTACATCTTTGTATCCCAAATAGATCGAAAGATGAAGATAATAATGATAAATCTGACAATGGTCTGACCTATTGCGCTGAATTATCAATGAATAATTTATAGGTGTAACTGAGCCAAATGTAGACCTGTTTTAATTAAAATGTCATAATCTCTCTAAAATTATCATTATTTTTTTAATGACTGGATGAAAGATAGATTTTTAATAAATTTTTAAATTTAGCAACTTATGAACATAATGGAGTTATTTCCCTTTGCTTGGTACTGAAGGTAATAGATACTATGCTACTGAAAGTGTTAATGGTACATATGCCTTGATTAAATCTAATTTTTAAACATTACATGCCCTCTGCAACATCATTAAAAATGACAAAATCTCACCATATGAGGATATTTTTCTGGATCTGTCACACTGATGTCTGTTAGTTTAATATTCAGAAATTGATCAACAGAATGCAACGTTCCACAGATACTATTTCAAGGAAACAAAAACAATATATTTTATTTAAGATAATTTTCACTCTTTGCATAGTAAGTAATAATAATAATAAAAAAACTCATTCGGTATTTTTTAAACAGGGTTCTGCAAGTATTAATACGTTTTTACTTTTAATCGTTTCATTTAAAATATATAAAAAAGCAGGTGCTGGCATATACTCTTAATAATTGTGTTATGAAATTGTAACTACTTTGATTAAATACTTACCACAAATCATTTTTTAATTCAACCACTACTTCTTTTCCGACCAGTGATTTGAAAAATGAGTAGAATAGCTAAAAAAAAAAAAAAGGAAGACAAAAATATATTTAATGAAACGCTTGAGCAAGGACACTAGGAAATATATTAAATTCTCAAATTTGTTTAAACTGTCTCCAAATAATTTTTTAAAACAATCTGTAAGATGAATTTTATGGGAATAAATCTATATAAGTTTTTTTTTGTACCGGTACAGGGTTTTATCTTTTACAGGGTATCAAAGAGTATACAGTATCTACAGGGTTTTGACTTTAAGATGTCATAATCTAGTATTACCAGTTATTTAGGCCAGTGTTTCTCTATTTTTTTTGTTTGCTAGTGGCCTACTTTAACATTTTATTTAGCCCCTAGGCCACCTTTAATGTTACCGGTATTACTGTATTATTTTAAAAAACTGAATTTTAAAGGAGAAAGTTCTTTTTTTTTTTTTTTCAAAGTATTCATGCCCTCTCCACCTTTTTTTTCCAAAACCATTTCCAACAATAGTGCCATAACTGTAAATATATTATTATAATACATTTTATATTAGTCTAGTTGTACTGATGAAAAAAAAAGGTGTGTGTGTGTGTGTGTGTGGGGGGGGGGGGTTATGATTTAAAAAAAAAAAAGATGACCACTTTAATTATTATTTTTAACAAATCTATTATATATACAATACAAACATATTTTCAAATATTGTAAATTATAGCCTACTATTGTGAATGTTAGAGCTAAAAAATAATGCAACAAATTTGAAATTATATCTTTTTTACAGCATTATGAAGCCTTCTTTTTTCCTTCCCACTAATTTGTGTGTTTTTGGGGGTGTGGTGCGGCATGTCAAGGTGTAAGAATCCCCGACAATCTGTGTTGAGCCTAAATGCATATCGGTCTATAGGCATAGGAATACCATAAAGGGAGGGGATACTAAAGGGGGTATTAATGGTAGTAGTAGTAATGTGCAGGTGGTCAGTGGAGCAGGAGAGAGCGAGCGAGTAGGATGCTGACCAGATCAGTGGATCAGTGTTATTGTTAGTTGGTGGGTTAGTAATAATAAATAGTAGTGTTGTGATCCATGTAGAACGTGTGTTTTTTTTTGGCTAAGCTTGTTAGCAGAACCCACATTAATAATGTGAGAACTGGTTAGATTAGGAGGCAGTAGAATAAAAGCTCATTATTAATAACTGCAAAAACACTTTGTGTCAAGTTTTTATGTACTCTTTATGTACAGTGACAGTGTGTTTAAATTAACATACCCCTAGACAACAGAGTCACACATGAATAAGTTCATGAAAGGACATTTTAACATTTTGAGTTTAGAAAAAAATGCTCCAGGAGCACTGCCATGATTGTGTTAAAATTTGCGTTGTGGGTTCCAAAACCTCTTTTTTTCACAAGTGTTTCTGTTTAAGATCATCATGCCGGCTGAACATTGGAATAGCACATTACTGCAAATATCAGCACTTTTCCTTGGTCGCAAGAATTTGTGCTAATAATTAAAAAAATTTGGGAGCTGAAGGCCAAGTTTGGCAACACGATGGTTGTAGCCTCATTACAAATTGTCTCCTTTGACTACATGTAAACACAGAATATAGTTGAGTTCGGTAGATCTTATGAGATGGCCCTAGGTACAGATATGATGCGTCTGGACCCTTTCTGGGATTGTCTCTAAGAAAGACTATAGCTAAGCCGATCTACAGGTAGAGATAGGGAGACTGTGAGACAAAGATATGCGATTACCATTCAACACTAATAGACTGACATACTGTAGCCTACTGATTATAGATTTGTAAAGTATATTCTATTAATTATTTAATTATATGTGTGTGCACATTCCCAACATTTTAATAGTACCCGTATTGTATTATGCTGTATTATTTTAAAATTAGCTTTAATAAATTATTATTTGAAACTAGCAATAGTTTGGGTATCGTTTTTTTATTACTGTATTTTAATTAATGGTATTGTCCTTTGTTGTGTACTGTTAATGAGCCATATAATATAGTCATATAGTAAAATAAGAGACTAGATTCTCTGCACAGAAACCCTACAACGGTAGGGAACACCAATGAACATAATAATTTAATAACAAAATATATGGTAATCTTGCAGTTCGGGTGCATATATTATGTCTGATCGACTTTTGTATCATCGCGTGTAAACTTACTTTTATTCTTTATAAAATTTAGTCCAGACAGTATTAGTTAACACCAACACTTAATTGTACAGCACTAACTTTTCTTTTTATTGATTTTACAGCCCACATTGGTACATAGCAGGTAGCTTAAATGATCTCTCCATTTTCACACTACATGCCAGATTGCAATTTTTCCATTTCCCTGTTTTTTTACAGGCCCCATTATTTAGATGTTAGCTAAAGTAAGGGCTTTTAAAGATGTTTACTTCCGAATGCCATCACGAGCGACACTGTGCATATTGGCTAGTGTTAGGAAAAATTAAAATTATGATTTCATTACCCTTCAATACCGTTTTTGAATATGGATAATCAAGTGTATGTGTTCTAAGTTTAATTTCGTTCCATTTACCCATGCAGGAGCCTTTGTTTGGAATTATACTTATACACCCCATATAAGAAAAAAAAGAATTTTGGGCCCCTATAAAATAACGGAACATCAAATTAAGTTCAACCAGCCCATATATGATATTTCATTATTTTTGTGAACATGTCTACAATTTTAAAATTTGGTTTAGCATACCAACTTATAGGCATAGGTGATCACAAATCTGGCAAAAAATACAAAGCAAATGGAACCATGAAATTTTGGGGGATGTTCAAAGATGTGCATACGCTTCAGAAATAAAAACGAAAATAAGGATGAAGAATAATGTAAGTATTGTAAGTGAAAGTGTACATGGGATGATACGAAATTCGACCGATCAGAAATAATATAGGCACATCAACTGCAAGATTATCAAATATATATATTATATTATTTAATACAGATGAGAAAAATAAAAAAGGCTACAACTACAGCCTAGTCAAGTCCTAGTAAATCTTGATCGGCATCTGGGAATTGATGCCTATTCGCCTATTTCCCATTTGTGGTCAGTGGTGGTATTATCTAGCCCCAATCTAGCGTTAACAAAAAAAAACACACCCAACATATATCTCAAGACGAGGCCAATGGTAATTTTTTTGACGTGGTGTATGAACATTTAGGTCTTTAGTTTTACTAGGTTTACCATCGCGGTGATGCGTTTTACAGTACAGTGTACAGTACAGTGTTAGTTTGTACGCAGCCACTTCGTTATCGTTATTTTTTTATCAATTCATAAACATCTTTAAAACATGTCTTAATAAAAATTCAATTTCTTAATTTATCACCTATCATTCCTATTTTTAAAAAAATCCCAAAATATACGTAAATCCTTAAAAATAGTCCATACAATTATAATTCAAATGTACCGTAATAAAACTTAGTTACAAAATCAAAAGATTACCATTTTCGAAATGAAAGCGTTAACGGAAGCAGATTAAGCTTCCGGTTAAACATTATACTTTTTATACAGCTAGACTGCTTAAAATGCCACATTGTAAATTTGCTGCCAAATCAATGTTTTTATTACAATTACGGGATGGCCTACCCAAAAGGCTTTACGGGCCACTGATAATAGTAGAGATAACGAGTGAACAGTTCACGGCCTGCATGTAATCCCTTAAATACCCCCCCCCCCTAAAATCTGAAGTGCCCCTCCAGGGGAAAATTTCATAAAGAAACACTGGATTCTACACTCCCCAACGCTGATTACAAAACCAAATCAATGTTTTTAATACAAATACGGGATGGCCTACCCAAAAGGCTTTACCGGCCCCCGATAAAAGTAAAAAAAACCAATGAACAGTTCACGGCCTGCAAGTAAACCCTTAAATACCCCCCCCCCCCACACACTAAATTCTGGGTGTAAATATTATCATATTGTTAATACTCATAATGAAACGCCAAATTAAAAAACAACCGAATATAAGTAAGCTAATGTTAAATAATTTTATCTTTTATCTCACTTAATTAGAATCTTTTAAAATTTGTCAACCAAATGCAGAGTGAATAAGTTTATTAGGATAAATAAGGCATCCGCGAGCCGAAACATTTAATATGGGCCGATGCGTGAGACCCGCGGGTTGGCCAACCCTAATTTCACATACACTCGTAGATACAGTAGCGTACCTAGTTGGGGGAGGAAAAGGGGCGACCGCCCCGGTGGCACTTGAGGGAGGGGGGGGGGAGGTGTACGTCAAAAATATAAAAAATATATTTTTAAAATTTTAGTTTAATTTACTTTTGTAATAATAAAAAGCTGTGTTATTGTTTTGTTACAATCTTATATGGAAAGTAATCTTAAATGGCACGGTCTCAGAGGCATTCTCATTAAACAGTGGCGTGAGGCATAGCTGCATAGGAAAACTTGCATCAACACTCTTCTACAATTTCTTCTCATTGCTTCTTCATTTTCCCTTCATTTTGCCGTCTTTGTGAAGACGTATTATAAATCAATACCATATCTGATATATGCTATTCAATATCGCCCGCCTTAGTGCACAGACCAAGTAAAAGAAAAAAGGTGCTGATTCGAGAACTGCTTTTTGTTGACAATGCCACATTAATATCGCATACACATAAGAATTTCTGCAGAGGTTATTAAAATCACATCTCGCTCGCATGTACAAATTTTGGACTGACCATTATTCTACAAAAGACTTAACTCATAATGTAAGAAGCACCGTCCCCTCTAAAGATAACTATACAGGGCAATAATAAGTCAGTTGTTGAACATTTCACAAAACTTGAGTCCAATATCTTTTGCTCATGCTCCGTTGTCGAAATGGTGCACATCGGGATCGCAAAAATAGCAGCAACTATGGCTAAATTGAAAAAAAGTTTGTATGGAATAACGCTAAACTAACTGAAAGTTAAAAAAACCCAAAAAACTAAGCGCCTGTCAGACAAGTATGCTCAGGATGCTCCTCGTGTGAACCACTCATGCCAGACATGAGAGGAAACTCAACAGCTTCCACCAAAGATGTCTACGTTGCATTTTGCGCATTCGATCGCAGTCGCCGGACTCGGTACCTATCACAGAGGTTTTGAAACGTGCCAAAATGTGTAGCATGTTCTTCACTCCTACCAAGAGAAAGGATGAAGGCCGTCTTCTGTATATGGAGAGTTGGCAGACGTGGTAAGGCTTCATTGGACGGCCGCGGTGGCGATGTTAAGGAGCACGAGGGACGCCAACACAGAAATCAGCTGGCGGGAGATCATCGCTGAGCACCGTTCCAGCTGGCGAACAGCAGTGTATGAAGGAGTCAAACAGCAGTGTATGAAGGAGTCAAACAGCTGTGTATGAAGGAGTTGAACAATGCAGAAGATGCGCGAAACGAAGCCCTTGCAACAAAATGAGCACCACAGAGGGCCACAGAGGGCCACAGAGGGCCACAAAGGGCCACAGAGGGCCACATCTAACCAGGAGTTAAGGTTTTCCTGCGAGAAATGCAGCCCAGACTGTCATTCCAGGGTCGGACTTGTTAGCGATTTGATAAAGTGCCCCAGGCACGCCTTCGTCTCGTGGATGACGGGGAAAATGCCATTTATATATCTGTATATTTTCATTACAAGGTCAAATAACTTTAAAAAAAAATTAGTATTAAAGTTTAAAAGAAAAATAGAGAGAATTATCCAAATAACATGTCAAACTTAACAGCAGTGCACACTAAGACTTAATGTTTGCTTCCGTTAGGATACTCCATCCTATTACAAGATAAATAAATTTATTAAAAACAAACAGAATTTTCACAGAACACTGAAAAACAAACAGAATTTTCACAGAACACTGAAAAACAAACAGAATTTTCACAGAACACTGAAAAACAAACAGAATTTTCACAGAACACTGAAAAACAAACAGAATTTTCACAGAACACTGAAAAACAAACAGAATTTTCACAGAACACTGAAAAACAAACAGAATTTTCACAGAACACTGAAAAACAAACAGAATTTTCACAGAACACTGAAAAACAAACAGAATTTTCACAGAACACTGAAAAACAAACAGAATTTTCACAGAACACTGAAAAACAAACAGAATTTTCACAGAACACTGAAAAACAAACAGAATTTTCACAGAACACTGAAAAACAAACAGAATTTTCACAGAACACTGAAAAACAAACAGAATTTTCACAGAACACTGAAAAACAAACAGAATTTTCACAGAACACTGAAAAACAAACAGAATTTTCACAGAACACTGAAAAACAAACAGAATTTTCACAGAACACTGAAAAACAAACAGAATTTTCACAGAACACTGAAAAACAAACAGAATTTTCACAGAACACTGAAAAACAAACAGAATTTTCACAGAACACTGAAAAACAAACAGAATTTTCACAGAACACTGAAAAACAAACAGAATTTTCACAGAACACTGAAAAACAAACAGAATTTTCACAGAACACTGAAAAACAAACAGAATTTTCACAGAACACTGAAAAACAAACAGAATTTTCACAGAACACTGAAAAACAAACAGAATTTTCACAGAACACTGAAAAACAAACAGAATTTTCACAGAACACTGAAAAACAAACAGAATTTTCACAGAACACTGAAAAACAAACAGAATTTTCACAGAACACTGAAAAACAAACAGAATTTTCACAGAACACTGAAAAACAAACAGAATTTTCACAGAACACTGAAAAACAAACAGAATTTTCACAGAACACTGAAAAACAAACAGAATTTTCACAGAACACTGAAAAACAAACAGAATTTTCACAGAACACTGAAAAACAAACAGAATTTTCACAGAACACTGAAAAACAAACATAACTTTTTTTAGACAGCTCCAAACTTAGTACGTTTTAAAAACCCATCCAATTTTCTCTTATTTGTATCGCACTATTTAAAACAGTTAATAGTCTATTTTGTTACAGTAGATTAAGTAACAGGAGATTTGATGAAAGGTACGTCACAGACTTTCAGTTCAATATGTTTAGGATTGAGACAAAACAGCTGCTCACCCTCCATCCTTTGATTTCTGTCATTATTCTGTAGATTAGACTATTATAGCTTGGCTAGACATAGACTACCATAGCTTGGCTAGACATAGACTACCATAGCTTGGCTAGACATAGACTACTATAGCTTGGCTAGACATAGACTACTATAGCTGGGCTAGACATAGACTACTATAGCTGGGCTAGACATAGACTACTATAGCTGGGCTGGACATAGACTACTATAGCTGGGCTAGACATAGACTACTATAGCTGGGCTAGACTACTATAGCCGGGCGAGATATAGACTATTATAGCTGGGCTAGACATAGACTACTATAGCCGGGCTAGACATAGACTACTACAGCCGGGCTAGACATAGACTACTATAGCTGGGCTAGACATAGACTACTATAGCTGGGCTAGACATAGACTACTATAGCTGGGCTAGACATAGACTACTATAGCTGGGCTAGACATACACTACTATAGCTGGGCTAGACATAGACTGCTATAGCTGGGCTAGACATAGACTACTATAGCTGGGCTAGACATAGACTACTATTGCTGGGCTAGACATAGACTACTATAGCTGGGCTAGACATAGACTACTATAGCCGGGCTAGACATAGACTACTATAGCCGGGCTAGACATAGACTACTATAGCTGGGCTAGACATAGACTACTATAGCTGGGCTAGACATAGACTACTATAGCTTGGCTAGACATAGACTATTATAGCTGGGCTAGACATAGACTACTATAGCCGGCCTAGACATAGACTACTATAGCTGGGCTAGACATAGACTACTATAGTTTGGCCAGAAATTGACTACTATAGTAAGGATAGACACAGACTACTATAGACTATAGTTTGGCTAGACATTGACAGATAGTAGAAGAAGTGAGGTTGACAACGAAACCTCTGTATTTACCACGGAAACATTTTTCTTTCATTGACTATGTCAGTTTATGACTCACAATATCATGCCATCTCTCCCAGTGAACGCCCTGCCGCCCCCCCCCCCCACCCAACCCAATCCCTTCCCGCCCAGGCGAATAGTTTTTAACTTAATTGTCTCTTTGTGCATGTTACGTCATCAACTCTCCCCGTGAACGCCCTGCCGCCCCCCCCCCCCCACCCAACCCAATCCCTTCCCACCCAGGCGAATAGTTTTTAACTTAATTGTCTCTTTGTGCATGTTACGTCATCAATAAAATCAAACGAGCTGAAAAAATCCATCAACGCGAAACAGAATCAAATCGACTGTGACGTTGAGAGAGGCAGTGGTTTAAAATGAAGTGCCTAGCAGACGCGCGCTTTAATAATTTTTTTTTTTTTTGTTTAAATTTGGGAGTAGGATTGAGAAAACGGTGAATATTAAACATGAAACAAACAAACATCATCCTAACAATTATCGCCTGCTTTACTTGTTGTTGTTCGTCCTTAGCATGTGAAGATGACCTCAATGGTC